GTACAAATGATAAATTTTCAAATTCAATTTTCTCGAAAGCGAGAACACTGATGAAAAAATTTTATTCTCTCCTGTCGACCACATTTCTACGTGTAGAATCACCTTTCAGTCGGTTGAACACGAGTATATATGCGGGACACCCTGTATATATCCACGTGAAACATTCATACTGAACTCGTTGTACTCGCTGCAATACTTACAGTAGCGGAAATAAATTTCTTCTTCAGTCTCGCGTATTTTTAACGCGTATTATATTCGTAAAAATTTGAAGTCTTTCACGCACTCAAGTCGATCCAAATCCATCTTCTTGAAATTCAGAAGAAAACAAGCAAAGCCTCTAAACGTTTCGGACAGATGATAATTGCAATGTTCGAACGCCGTTTCGATAGTTCGATACATCACGGCAGAAAATCCGATTTACAAAGCAGCTGTTGAACGAGACTGGTTGGAAATTCATGAATGACGGCCGGACGAACATCTGCGTACAAAGGCACGTACGACTCGGCAGGTTTATTTCGCCAGAGACGAAGCACGGTTACGAAGCTCGTCCCGGGGCTCTCAAACTTTTTTATTATCTCGTCTCGCGGGCGCACGTGGACGCTGGAAAAATCCGGCGAATTTACGGGCCACGGGAAAACGACACCGTCGTGCACACGCCGTGCTGGCTTTTTGCTCGCCACGCGTTAATTACTTACGCTTTCCACCGTGCGCTGTTTCCCCATTTCTTCGGGCTTAATGACGTTGCGTCTCAAAGTATCAACGCGGGCACAAAAGAGAGAACGGCTCGATGATTTCTTCGCCGGGGCTTCGTAACTTTTAATCTCGTAAAGTAACCTTTATCTCGCTAATAAAATTGCCTCGGCAACTTTTTAAATCCTTTTTATCCATGTTTAATAATTTTTTTCTTTTTTTTTTCAGAAAAGAACCTCCGCGAGTTGAAACCTTTGTTTTGTTAATAAAAGTGCTCGATCGATCCCTTTTTTCGGGACGAGATTATTACTTGTAATAATCTGTTCAGTGATTTTCAATCGCTCGAGCAAACTACTTTTCTTATAGTTAACTACATATATCGCTCCGTATTTAGAGAGAATTCGTTCGAATCTTCATTTTTCGCGTTGTATAGAATATCACGTGAGCTGAACGAAGCTAAATAAAGCAAGGTAATAAAAATATTTGAGCTTCAACTTTTGTTGAACCGTGCTGCTTCATCATGGTATTTGGACCAAATTATTAAATATTGCAACACATTTTTCGTGTTGTGGCAAACATTAAATAAAAATAGTTTAGCGACTTTTGTTACGACATTATACTGCTCCGTATTTGAACCGTTTTCACAAATCATCAAATATCATAACGCATTCTTCGCGTTCTATAAAAATATCCCACAAGCACTGAATTGAAATGTCCACGATAAAACAAAGTAATAAAAATACTTGGGCAACTTTTGTTAAAGATCTTTTCTCGAGTCTCATTAAATATTACAATGCATTTCTCGCGTTGTATGAAAGTACCGCAAGCTCTGGACTGAACGATCAAAATAAAACAAAGTGATAAAAATAACTTTACAAACTTGATAAATTACACTGCTCCATATTTGAATTCTCTCTCGAATCATTAAACATTCGCATTCTTCGTATATTTTACACAGAAATATCACTGAAGCGCTAAATTGGACGATCTAAATGAAAATGTTTCGAGTAGCTTTCGTTAAACTATACTATACGTATTTAATTTAAGGTATTTAGATTTTTTTTTTTTTTTTTAAGTAACAAGCATCGAATCGAACAACCTCATTGGCCCCCATTGGGGGCCATTTCGTTGTAACCCCGTTGATGGAAAATCGACGAGGATCGTTATCCCGTAGTAAAATAAAATTACCAGTCCAGTGAAACGCGATGCAACCCGACATTTCCAGCGGCAAAGTTAGATTTTGGAGTTTTGGGAACAGATGGGATGGGTTTTCAACTCTCGGCCGGCCGGCCGGCCGGTTACCCTTTCCCCAGAAAGTTTTTAAACGTGCGTCATTATTAATTAAACCTGAGTATCGGTCACCAGGGAAAGCCAATTTCCATGGATGACGTCTATTAATTAAGTTGCCGTATCGTCGATGTAGATCAGCGGTAGACGCGGCCCGCGTCTATTAAACCGCGTCTATTAATCAAGTTTCTACCGCCATAGACGCGGCGCGCTTGTGCGTGCGTTCTCTAATCAGCGGTTATATTGCGATAAGTTGATTGCAAACACAACCTTATCGCGAGTGAACACCCGTGCGAAATTTTAAGGCGTTCAATTTCAGCGTGGAGAATTTGAGGCCTCGGCAATCACGGGTCTGTGAGCCAATTGCTGATGTAATTAGTTTGTTTCTACTGAAATGTTTGTTAGCGAGAAAATTAATTACCGAAGCAAAATTCGTTTACAATCCAAATAAAAATATTTCAATTAGAAACTTTTATCTTCGAGGTTCGAGGACAAATCCTCTTGTCGTATTGCTATAAGTTTGCTCGGAACATAACCGTAATCACTTGGGAAAAAGTAATCCAAAGGTAAATGGCAATAAAATTCTGAGTTTCAGGCGAATGCTTCTTGAAATCGAGAATTCACAATGCCCGGCGTAATTCATCGTTCCAATTACGTGATACGATACGTACATGCACGGAGGAAGATTTTAATTACGGGCACATTTAACGTGAGGCTGCTTGTAAATTCTCTTTTAATTTCCGTTTCCGTGACGGGCGAATCGTAACCAGAACGTACGAACGTTCATGCAAATTCGCTTGTTTTTACGAACCCAACCAGAAAGTCATCTAAAAATATTGCAACGAGGACTCATATACGCGCTCTGCACGTATTTAGAGTCATTTGAATTCCTCGTAAAATCCTGCATAAACATCGGGCCACCAGAGAAAAAAATCTTTCTAATAGTGTCCAAGGAAATCAGGATTCAGACGAGCAGACGAAAATTCAGCCGGTACGTCGAAGAAGCGTGCCGTCGCCTGCCTTTATCCACGCTTTTATCCATCCTTCTCCGGAAATCGAGGGTAGACGATGGCAGAGGACAAGCCCTCTGGAATCGCAATTTTATCACCGAAGAATAATTCGTTCGCGACCCGACGATACGATTCGTCTTCCCTTCTGCCGCGAAATCTGCAGACAGACGGTGCAGCGAATTCTTCGGGACGACGTGCTATAAATCGCACGGTCGCGTCGTTCACGACCTTCGTAATATCGTGAAAAGAGAGACGGTGTAAAAGCATGGTGCATGGCAACGTCCACACGACATGGACCGATGCAATCGCTAACCCGACTTCAACGCGTCGAACACTCGGCTTGCTTTATCTCCGAAATTCCAAGTACTCGGGCGAAGTTGGTAAGCCCCGATCCTGTTTACAAATGGCTATACCGCCGCCGGCGTGCGGCTATGGTTATCGTTGGCCGCGGCATTTCCTTGCGAGCCACGTTCCACGTTCCGCGACAGAGAGAAATGTCGAAGGAAACGGGCGTTCCCGTAGGTCTCGCGGTCTCGCCACCGTCCCGGGGATATTAGTTTCTCAGCACTCGTGCGCCCTGCCTCTCGATACGCTCCTCCGGATAAATGGAAAAACCGTCTGAGAAAGCTGGGGAAGAAGCCAGTGATTTCGCCATGGCTGGTGGACAAAAAATACGCCGTGGCACAGGCGAAATCAGGGAGATTCTGTGACTCGAAGTAAGAACGAGATCAGGGATCA